GACCGTATCTTTTATTTTTATGGCGAATAGAGTATACTTTGACATAGACATATATTAAGCATAAATATAGAATTAAAGTGATAATTACAATAATATCTAAGTAATATAATGAAAAATATCTTTATCTAATGTCAAAAAATGCAGTTAATTGAAAAATACGAGAAGATTATTATCTAAAGTATTATTGTTTTCTAAACATATATATCATATTGAATAGAAAGAAAAGTCTATAATCAGATTTGACAACTTGTCGAAAGCTATTCAACTATCTACTATCTTACAATACGTCAACAGAACAGTTCAAGAAACTATTGAATACGATCAATAATACCAATTATGAATGTCCCCCCGATTTACTCGATATATCTTGATCGATTGAGAAACTTTCATCACATGAAGAAGGAAAATGTCAAAGCAAATGTTATACAATTTTCGTTTACTTTTCATTATTGTGAAAGATAAGTCCCGAAGGCAACAAATCACTAGAGAAATGTTAATAAGAAACAAACGGAAAAATTTTTATTTTTTCTATATTTTATGGTACTATCGATTTTTTCGCACTTTAAGTACTAAAGAAGGATGAAGTAAGTTTCTTTTTTGTTCTGTGTTTTGACTTATATAAACGATTGCTATAAATATATACTTAGATGACCCTTAAAAATTTACTTGTTCGTTTTGATTTTGTAAAACTAATATGTACTGTATTAAAATAATTATATTAAGAAAATTTGAAGATGATTATTTTTATTTGAAACAAGATAACAGCATATTTTCGTTTTCAAAATTACTCAGATAAGTAGAATTCATTAAATAATTATTTTTCGAAATTATTTATCAAAAAAAAAGAAAAAAAAACAAGAATATTATTGAACAAAAATAAAAAATTTGTATCATATATCTTTCAATTATCTTTTTTTAAATGATATATGTCAAACTATTCAGATATTAAAACTTTTTGAATAATTGTTATGTACTCTTCGTAAACAATCAAATAAATTTTGTGTTCCACTACAAGATAGACTGTTTCATTTTTACATCTCTCTGAACCGGAAAAGAAAACACATTTGATCGATCGACACAATCTCTCTTATGATTTACATAACAAAACTAATGACATCTGCTGTTCAAGAATCTTCTCTATTGGTTATTATTCCGAGTTAACATATAGATTTTCAGGTTACGTCAACCGTATTTGCCTTTAGATATATGAATATTGTATAAACAATATTTAACTATATTAGAGTTTAAATAAAGGTTCCTTTCTTTTTTATTACAATACTTTTAAATAATATTAATTGGTCATATGACCCGACAGTCATCCTGTTTCAGTATGTGTTCCTAAAGATATATATGATGATGTAAAACATCTTTTATCATTTATTGACTTTTTTTTTCTTTCATCTGATTCGTTTAGTTAACTTTGATTACAATTGAATATCAAAATCAAAACGCAAATATTCTTTGTCATCTTTCTTTAAATATTGTATCAAAAGCAAACATGGAAATTGAATCATATATATACGAGTATGTATATGAATACATATAAATATTTTTTTTTCTGATTAAATTTGAACTTCAAATTTTTTATATATTTATTTATATCTTCTTAGATAATTATATTCCAAAAAAAAAACATGAAAGAAAAACAATATTCTAAATATTTCAACTTCATTTAAAGCAATATGTTTGTTAAGAAATAAACTTCAATGATATAGACAAATCTTATATTTGATGAATAAACAAGATATTATTGTACGTAGTGAAGCATTAATAACTAAATTAAAAAAGAAACCTTTCACTTTTTTTTATTATTATAATTACTTTCGCATTTATTTAGATCTAAATCAAAAAGTGATAAATCTTGCATATGCTAATGAAAAAAATAAGATTGTGAGGCCATTGAGTATTTAAATATTATGTCAACATGAACAAACATTGGTTTAATTACTGGAAGTATTATATATACATTTTTACGGTGCGCTATGTATTTATTTTTGTTTTAATTCTTTTTTTTTCTACTCATTTATCAATTTATTTTATTCAATCAAGAAACTCTATAAAAATATTTTTTATTCTAGATTTCTTTTATTTTCAATAAAATATGTTTCGATCATGGTTAAAATATTCATTAATTTCTAATCGATTGATACATACAGTTGCAAGACAAGAAAATAATGAGAAAAAGAAAATTATTGTATTAGGTGCTGGATGGTAAAAGTTTTAGATATTTTAATTATATAAATCTTTAATAATTAATTTCTATAGGGGTGGATTTCAATTTGTTCGATATTTAAAACGAAACAAATATGATGTGACATTAGTAAGATTTTGTCTTTTTGATTATATAGAAAAGAAAAAAAAAACAATACAAATGAATCGTTTTCATAGCGATAATTAACGAGAAAAATGATTGAAAAAATGCAAAAGTTAGCAACCTAGAAATCGATTATAACCGATTTCCGATGATTTTAGGCGGAAACAGAGAAAAATCTAATTGATGGGATTTCTTCAAAATATTTCGGAACAATATAAAAACTTTTATGTAATAAAAATATAGTTTAAATCAAAGTCTTCTTTTTTTTTGTTATATTTGACTTGAAAATTATATGAATTAGAAGAATAAAAAAAAAAAAGACAAGTTCTTACACTAATTAACAAATTTTTTCTTCATGAATGATTTTATTCGGAAATTTGTTTCTTCCTTTCATTTATGTCATTTTTCTTTTTATATAGAATATAACACGAATGATTATTTTCTATTGACATGTTGTCTTTTTTTTTTTTTTTTTTTTTTTTTTGTTAGGTTTCACCACGTAATCATTTTCTTTTTACTCCTTTATTACCATCAACAACTGTTGGTACATTAGAATTTCGTTGTATTATTGAACCAGTTCGTACATTATCAAATTTACATTATTATCAAGCTTATTGTGATGAAATTAGTTATAAAACAAATCAAATACATTGTCAAGATTTTTTTAATCCAAATAAAGAATTTTCACTTGATTATGATTATCTTGTTTGTTGTCATGGAGCGAATTCAAATACATTTGGTATACCGGGTGTTGAACAACATGCATTTTTTCTTAAACAACTTTCTGATGCACGTGCTATACGTAATCGTCTGATGGAATTATTTGAAAGAGCATCAAATCGATTTATATCTGAAGAAGAACGAAAAGCATTAACAACATTTGTTATTGTTGGTGGTGGACCAACATCAATTGAATTTAGTGGAGAATTACATGATTTTATTGTAGAAGATGTTGCAAAATGGTTTCCTGATGTTAAAACACGTGTTATTGTTGTTGAAAGTACTGATCATATTTTAGGAACATTTGATTCAAAACTAACAGATTATGCAATGAACATTTTAAAATCACGTTCAGAAATTACACTTAAAACAAATACATATGTTAAACGTGTTGATGAAAATGAAGTTTTACTTAGTAACGGTGAAGTTATTCGTTGCGGAATCACAGTATGGAGTACAGGTACAAGGATTCTCTAAAAGAAAAAAAAATGAATTCTCATGTAGATTTCTATTGCTTCCATGAAGATAAGAAGATCGACATTTGATATTGATTAAATACTCTTCTTTATTTGATTTAATATTAATAATTCATTAAAAAAAAAAACTTCGAGACATTATGTATATCGATATACAGTAGTATATAAAAGACTCCCATCGCCCATATCTCGGTTACTCTATATGTTATAGGTTGAAAAATTTGTCCAGGTAACAAAAACTTTAGTAGACAACCTTTTTTCAGGTTAAAAGTTTGAAGTAAAAATAGGCAATTTCCTTCGTCATAATTCTCTTTGCATTTAAGCGATCGAGGTGACCTTGTCCTTCTTAACTAAATTCTTAATGTAGTATGTGTACACAAAGTTTCAACCCACTAGCATGTGTAGTAGCCGAAATGCGGAGGATGAAAGTACTTTATCTACTACTGTAGCTATCATTATTATCGTCTTATTCTCCTGTATCACTATCAAAGAATGGTTGGAAAAGAAGAAAATAATGCAATTTGTTTGATTTTTCACTTGTATCGTATTGTATATTAAATCATTTATTTTAATATTAACATATGAAGAAATATCTCACCAAGATATGAAACATTAATTTTTAATATTAAATCAAATAACGACGAGTATTGAATCAATGTCAAAAGAACATGCTCACATCTGTTAAAAGAAATTCATCTCATACTTTCATAGTTTGTTTTTTTTTATTGTTTATAATTTATAAAAATTTTAGGACTTTCCCCAACTAAATTAACATCAACTTTACAATTTTCAAAAGAAAAACGTTCAGGAAGATTATATACAAATGATCATTTACAAGTATTAGTTGATGATAAAACAGTCATTGATAATATGTTTGCACTTGGTGATTGTGCAACACCAATTAATCAATCATTACCAGCAACAGCACAAGTCGCCGTTCAAGAAGCTAAATATTTAGCTCATAGATTAAATCAAAAAGAATTTTATTTAAAAAATTCAAATGATATTACCACTCGTAATTATCCAGTATTTAGTTTTAGTAATGCCGGTATGCTGGCTTATCTAGGTGGATATGGTGGTTTAGCAGATTTGAAACAAACTAAAGCAACTGGTTTTTTATCATGGTTATTATGGCGTTCAGTTTATTTAACACGACTTGTTAGTTTTAAAAATCGTTTACTTGTGTAAGTTAATTTGTATAATTAATTTATTCAATTTATCTTCTTGTTTTTTTTAGTGCTATGTTTTGGTTTAAATCATTTGTATGTATTACTCTTTTATTTTGTTTTTTTTTTATTGAAGTATATTATGATACTCTTTATTTTAGGTTTTTGGTCGTGATATTAGTCGATTTTAAAAAATGAACTTTTTTATTTATATTTTATAGTAGCAAAAAACCCATATAGATAATAATCTTATAGAATTGTTAGTTTATTGTAACTTTTTATTTTAGATGAAATATTCTTGGTAATATTATGTTAGATAAATAAATGATGCATGTGTATTATATAATATTATCTTTGATCTTCGTTATTCGAAGTATAATAACTAGTCAAATTAATATTGATATACCATCAATTTCAACTTCACATATATTTGAAATATCATCAAATATTTCTCAAAATCTTAATCGTGATGTACTCTTTGGACTTGTTGATGGTACATCATCATCTATACCATCATCAATACTTGTTCAAGCTTCTTATAAAGAATTTCATATCGAACGTTTTTTTAATCTTTATCAATCAAATAATAATAATTATCAACAAAAAATACAAAAAGAACCTATATTTCGTAGTTATTTATTAACATCATCATTTAATCGATCATATCCATTTATACGAGTATTAATTGGTTCAGTACATGGATCATATGAATATATGAATATACAACCGATGTGTGCTATTGTAACAGCAGTTAATGAACAAAATCTATATGAAACACAAGCTTGTTTTATATCACCTTTAACAGGTTATTGTTTAGTAACAATATCAGTATTAAAAATGGTTGAATATGTAAATAAAAATCAAACAAAAAATAAAATTGAAATTTATTTTAAAGTAAAAAAATAAAGAATAAAAATTTTCCATTATGAAAATTCTTTTTTCTCTTTAGCTTCATCATGTTGGATCAATAAATGAATGTATTTCGGATCATACACCAAAACAAGATCATATTCATCATGAAACACGTATTGGTCATGCTGAATATATTGATAATGATAATATATTATTTTCAACTATAACTCGTTCATCTATTTCAATTGATTATCCAATTGGTATTCATTATCCTGATTGGTATTTTCCATTAAAATTAAAATTAATTATTTCATCTTCATTTCTATCATCATTTATAATACGTTGTCGTTTATTATCATATTTTTCTATTTATTTAATACAAACAAATATTCTTAAAATTTCAAATTATCATATTCAAATAAATCATAATATTTATCATCGAGAATCATTATCTGATATTGATTTTAATATAAAAATAAATCATATAAATAAAACCTATCAAAATCATATATTTGAAATTGATATAGCAACAATTATGTTAAGAATTAATTCAACAAATTTATATGAAATAAATCAATATAATTCAAATTCAATTTTATTTATCGATTGGTTTCTATTATCGAATAATTCATTTCATAATAATGAACCAATTTTACGCGTTCCTATTCATGTACAATATGATGATATTCAAACAATTGTTGCATTAACAGATTTTACAAGTTTAATTAATACAGCAATGTTATCCATGCAAACTCAACAATTTCCATTAAAAATTCTTGCAGTTAATTATTCAGGGTATGAAATTTTTTGTTTTGAATAAATTATTTAGAAATTTTTTTCAAAAAAATTTATTAAGATCTATTCAATCTATATCACAAGCGGTATGTCATTCCGAAAATATTTATTTAATTCAAGTTGATTCAACTTGTCATCATATATATTTTTCTGGTCAAGAACGCGATGATTTTTTTGATCATATTAATAGTCCAACATCAATTGTTATTCGTTATGAAAAATATCTTCAACGTTTATATTTTACTATTTATATTCCTGAAAGACCATTACGTATTGAATTAAGTGATACAAAATTATCTCGTATAAATGGATGGTTTGTTACAAAACGTATCGATGATGATGAACAAAAAAATCAATCATTTACAGATGATTTAGATAATGAAGAAGATAATGACGATGATAATGATAATGATAATGATGATGATGATGATGATATAAAATGTTATTCTGTTTATCAACAATCATTTATTTATGTTTTTACAAAATTTTATCGAACTACTCAAAGTAATAATTTGTTTTTTTTTGTTTTGTTTATTTATTTGATTTCTTTTTGAATTTTAGATGGTGATCGTATTTATTTATTTAATAAACTTAATGTTCTTATAACACCACTTGTTCGTGCACATTTAGAAACCGATAATACACGTGTTGCTATTATTAAAGATGATAAAATTATTGGTATTGGACCAGGAAAAACAAATATTCGAGTAATTCATATGAATATGAAAAAAAGTTTTTTAGATTTTATAGAAAAATCATTAAAATTTAATCTTTGGGAGTTATTTTTTGTCTTTTTTTTTATTTAGATTTATTCTTTTACAAATAAACTTCCAATGGGTTCAAAAACAATTTATGTTGATGATCAAGAATCAGTAAATATAGTAAATATATCATTTAATCTTCTTACAAATATTGATTTTGAAACAAATTTAATTGAACATATTGATCCAATTTATAAAGTTCATTTTCATATAAAACCTATTTTTAATCAATTTAATATAAATAATAAAAATCAAGTATAAAATAGTTTTTTGTTTTTTTATTTCATATTTTAATATCAAGTTTATTTTTAATTTCTAGTTTGGTCAAATTAATATTATATTAACATATTCTGATAATACTTCAGTATCATTAGATGATATACCATCTGATTATTATCAATTTGAAATTGATATGAATCGTATAAATCCTTCAATAATACATATTAATACATCAAAATCATGGAAAAATTTACATATTCGTCCATTAACTACTATTGGTCAAACAACAATTTATAGTCGTCTTAAATTAGGTCAACAACAATGTACAGATGATAGAAGTTTTTCTCAAAATGATCTTTCTTGTGAAATATTTATTTTTTCAAATAATATTCATTCATTTAATAATAATAATTTACATACATTATCATATGAACAAATGAATAATTATTTTATATTAAATAATAATAATAATAATAATAATAATAATAATAATATTGATCAACGTAGAAAAACATCACCATTTCTAATAGCATTATCAATTTTATTAAGTACATGTGTTATATTATGTCTTATATTTGTTTTACATTGGTTTGTTAATTATTATTATCGACAAAAATCTAATAAACATTCAAGAAGACAACGAAATTCAACACATAGTGGTGCTGAAGAAGTTAATCATGATTGGATATTTCTTGATAGAAATTCATTAGAAATGCCAATAAAACAACAAGAAAATTCATCATCAATACATAATTCAACACTTCATATAACATCAAATCCAATAAATAATACATCAACAACATTACCACGACAAAAAGATTTATCTGAACTTACACATTTACAAATGATTGCTTATTTCGAGAATCTTAAAGAATCTCATGCATAGAACATTTCTAATCTCAAGTTTCGTTTCTTTTTTGTTGGCATCAACACCGGTGTCATACTTTCTAGTCATTAAAAATATATGCAGTGAATTTTTTTCTTGATTTAATTATATTGCCAGACAATAGACAGTGAGAGTACACTATCACATTATATTATTATGCTCAATTAGTCAAATATATACATATATTTAAAATTTCATTTAGCATTTTATGACACAAACTTTAAACAAATTTTTTTAATGTTGTGCATTTCATACGATTTACTTTTTCTTTTTCTTGGTTTTTTTTTTTTGTATTAATGTAATGAGTTAGTTTTTTTCTTTTTTTTTTTTGTTTCTCTTCCGTGTTTCTTATTGAACATACATGTTAATTTGTATGTGTCTTATTTTCATCATTTCTTTGTTTTCTTTTTTTCGCATATAAAAAGACGTTGAATATATGCTAATATATTCTAACAAACTTAAAGAAGACAATAAGATGTCTATGTACGCAATGTATATATCGTTTATTTTGTTTTTGATGAATTAGGTGTAGCTGGTGGATTTTGTTCTTCATCATTTGATTGTTCAGATATTTGTTCTTTATTAGGTGTTGGAGGAGGTTGATCTGTATTAAGTGATGTTGATTGAGGTGGATCATATTGAGTACCAACAGAAGGTTTTAATTCATGTTGAAATTGTTCATAGTAATTCGGCGAATTTTGTTCACTAATATAATATGTTGTATTTATATTTGGTTGTTGATATTGTTGATATGAATTAACATTGTATTGTGCATTGATTTGTTGTATCTTGTCTGGAGGAGCCATTCGACCAACTAATCGAATAGTACCTAAATTTTTAATACCAAAACGACTTAATGGTTCATTAGGATATGAATGTAATTCTTGTCCATGAAAGACAAGATTTTGTAATGCTCGTGGTACACGAAAATCACGTTCAATAACATTCATTAAATCTGTAACAGTTGGTTCAGCACCATTATATGCTGGCACAGATATTTCATGTATATCACCACCAAAATGTAATTGAAGTTTAACACAAAAAACGCGCGGTTGAAACATAACTTATTCTATCATAAACATGTAAGAATGTAGTAACAATTCGATTCTTCTCGACTTTTATTTCTGTTTGCAAACAAACAAAAAAAAAAGTGTTGCTTGACGGTATGTTGCTATTGGAGTTAAGAGGTAAAAAAAAAAGAAAGAAAGAGAGAATAGAAAAAGGAAAAGAGTATTTATGTTCTTTTTTTTTTGTCATACAACATGTTTTATTGCCCATAGTTATAACAAAATGAAAATGAATGATTGAAAAGTTTTATTTAAAAACAATACAATAATAACAATAACAATAACATTTCATGATATATATATTTATTCCATGTCAGATAATTGTTCATCTTCACTTAATTCAAGTTCATTGTTTTTATTCTTTTTTAATTTTTGTAATTTCTATAAAAGAATTTAAAAAAAAAGAATTCTTATCTTTATCATTTTCTTTAAATTTATTTCGAGAAGAGATATTCAGAGTAAAAATTGATTCTATATTTTTAGTTTAGTTATTAATTTATCGAAATTTGAAAGATGTACGCCACTCAAAATTTCCGAAATTTTTTTTTTCATATATCATTGAGTTACTTCGAAAAAATGATTCTTTAATTTTCAAAAAAATTTCGAATTCCAGATTTCATCACAAAACATGATAATTTTCATACAATCATGAGTATAATAATTTCTTCTTCCAGTGCAGTTGTATAAATATTTTTTACCGTTTCACGACAGAAAATTGACTAGAAAAAAAGTAAATTTAAAATTACTTATTTTTCTAGTCAATTTATTGTCACGAAATAGGAAAAAATATTTATATAGTTGGACTTAATGAAAAATTGTTATCTTTTTGTGATAAAATCTGAAATTTGAAATTTTTTGAAAAACCTACTTTTGAAAATTGGAGAGACGCTTGTTCGAAGTAACTCAATGTAGTTTATCAAATCATGTATTAAAAAGTGAAGAAAAAAATTTTGAGTTGCACGCACTTTACATAAAACAATGTATTCTTACATTATATCTTTGTAATCGTCGTTGTTTTTTTAATTTACCATATTCTTTTGCAATTTCATCGATATGTTTTTCATTTTCAGCAAGTTCATTTTCAGCACCAATTATTCGTTCATTTTCTGCTTGTTCACGACGTAAACGTTTTAAACGATTTTTAAGTTTTTTTTCTTTTTTTATCGAAAATGCAACTGTCTGTTAAGTATAAATAAGAACAAGAATTAAAAAATCGATTAAAAAAAAATATTTTCTTTTTTATTTTTACTTTGACACGTTTTTTTATTTTCATATTTGGATCTTCTTTTTCCATTTGTCGTTTTTTTGCTAAACTTTTATCTCTATCAAATAAAAAGAAAATGAATATTATTTTCAAAGAAAAAAAAAACTAAAATTAAAAATATATACTTGTATGGAATAGATTCAGAATCAACTGTTTGATTTTGTTGATTAAACTTTGATGTATCACGGTTTTTAAATTCAGGCATTTTTGGTAAATGAACAAGTGCAAAAGCACCTTCAGCAACTCCACATAAATCAAGTTCTTTTAAACGTAAAAGAAGTGAACATTCATGTTTAGCATAAGCTTGAACATAAGAAACAAATGCTTGTTTCGATCGATCATAAATAGCTCTATTAAGATTAAATAAATATTTAATGTATATATATATAACGCTCGGAATTCTCTACAACTTTGTTCATTTGGTTTTAGACTTATATTGAATTGTTGAAAAATATTTCGACTACAGCGAAGATATTCTCATCTTCAGATTTCTACAAATTGCTTTCTTACGAATTTTTTTGGTTTTGATTTAAATTACAATAATATCTTTTTTAGAAAAAAGTAATTATAACTTCAGATAGTGTATTAAACTTTCCAACATTCTCTATCCTGTCAGTCTCGACTTGCTATTATTTGTCGGCAAATATATCAAATCTTTTTCTTTTTTATTATACTTACTTTCCTACAAATTGTATTTTATATGCCTTCAAGTAAGTGTAGTACGTGTTTGTTTTGTATAGAATGTTATACAATCCTACACGCCATAGTAATAAGATTATGACTGACATGTAAGCAATTACATAGACAAGTTATATGGTTAGTAGATAACAAAAAAAAAAGAATTGAATTTTGAGCAAAATGTTGTGATTGCTAAGTTGAAGAGTACAAAAGATTAGATTGTATCGAAATAGAAAAGAACAATCATATACTTCTCTCCGACAAGGCTATTTTGCAATGTTTTCACTTCATGATTATTTTCGTCAATATTTCTTCTGATATTCTGAAATATATATCAAAAGATGCAGAATTTGGTGGCACACTTGCCATTTCAGAAAATTATTGTTAGCAAAAAAAAATTTGCATCATTTTTTTCGTTTTTTTTTTGACCGTCGCAACTGGACGATTGAGTAAATGTTAGTATTTTAAATTTTGTTCTAACTAACAAAAAGTTACTTGATAACAAATGCAACCGTTTTGTAGAGCAAAAATTTCTCTGTCGAATGACTTTCTGAAAATGTATCTGAGTGTCGATGAAAAAAAGGAAAAAAGAAAATAATATTGTCTCGTTTAATCTATACCACCTGTTATTTGCCAGCAAATAATTATAAAGCGAGACTGACAAGATAGAGAACATTAAAGACCTTAACGCACTATCCGAATTTATAATTAATTTTTATTAAAAAGATATTACTGTAATTTTAATCAAAACCAAAAAATTCGTTAAAAAACAATTTATGCAGATCTGAAGACAAGAATGTGCGTCCACTGTAGTCGAAATACTTTTCAGCAATTCAATATAAGTCTAAAATCAAATACACAGGGTTTTTGTATCAGAATATATGATTGGTGTTTTGAAAACTAGGTATATTCAAAATATTGACTCCCACTATTTATTTCCAGAGACATATATAAAAATTCTTTTTTTTTTTATTTTGAATAATTCTTACTTATCACTAATTGCTAATTGTCGTACAATTGGTACAACATTTTCAATAGTGTTTATATCAGCTGTTATCATTTCATTTAATGGTACTTTTTGACTATTAAGAAGAAAATTTACATATGCAGCTTCATTTGGTAGAAGCATTAAAAGTGCATTTCCAAGTTTACCAAGACGTGCTGTTCGACCACAACTAAAATAAAATAAATAAATTATATTGAAAATAAATGAATTTTTACCGATGAACAAATTGTACAACTGTTGTTGGTGGATCAAATTGTATAACCCAATCAACATCAGGTAAATCAATACCACGTGCAACAATATCTGTACATAAAAGAATTGTTGTTGTTGTTGTTGATATTTCGGAACGAAATTGTTCAATAACATGTAAACGTTTATTACGTAATTTTCGATGTATAGAATAAATGTTTGTTGATGTTGATAAACGAAAAAGATATTTAAGTATACTTCCAAAATATTGTACACAAGCACATGTAGAAAAAAATATCATTATTTTAGCTGGACGTTGTTCATTTATAAAATGAATTAATTGACTTAATTTTTCATTTGGTTCACAAATCTAATTAAAAATAAACAAAGAAAAGAATAGGATCTTCTTTTTTTTTTTGTTCTCATTATTATTATTATTATTATATTGTAAAAACAAAAGAATTAATTACCATATAAAAATTTTTTAATGTTGATGGTGTACGTTGATCAGCACCTGAACCTGTTTGTTTAACAGTTATTCGTACAGGATTTCGAAGACCAGCACGAATTAATTTTTCTAATTCATCGGTTTGAGTTGCAGAAAATAAACCGGTTCGTCTTTGTTTAGGAAGAGCATCGAAAATAGTATTTAGACTAGAAGAAAAAAAACCATATAAATTTTAACGTATACAAACATCATAAAGTAAAACTATTAGATAAGATATTCATACAGTAAAACCTACCTATAGTGGACATCCTTCGGACTTTTCAAAAGTGTCAACTATAGGGAGTACGATAATAGGATGTAGGGCACCTTGTTGCTTCTCTTTTTGATTAATGCTTTTTTTTGGTACTTTTATTCGACTTGAGACAAAGTCAGAGAATTTCAATGATATTATTTTGTTTTTAGTAAATTAAATCTGTCGGACAGTTTTTCATATTAGTTCTTCTTCGAATCGACGATATCCTATACACTAATTAATAAGTCATATCACAGCGTGTGGGTACCGCAGTGTCGATAATCTGTAGAAATTCAGCTTCGACACGATGCTCTCTTTTTCTTGTATGATGGTAGAAAATCGACGTCAATACAATATTGCTCTTATATCCGTTTCGCCTAATGATTTAGCACAACGGACGTCTTCCTTCTTCTGTGAGTCAAACGTCTAATTGATTAAGAAAAATTGCCATCATGACATCTTCTCTAAGTTCATACACACTGTCCGCTGGAGTATTGCACGACTACTCGATATGTTCATACCGGGAGGTTTTACTGTAATATCAATTTGAGTTTTTTTTGTTCTAATTTTAGGAATAACTTTACTATTAATGTACTTTTACCTAGTTAAAAATCCCAAATCTAATAAACGATCAGCTTCATCCAAAATGAGTATTTCCTAATAAAGAAAAACAAAAATTCAATTTCGCTATAATTAATTAATTTTGTACAAAACTTACAAGACTTTTAAGATTTGATATAAGATTAAATGAATTATTTTTTGTTTTAAGTAATTCTTCAAAACGACCTGGTGTTGCAATAACAATTGTACCACCATTATTTTGAAATTGTTTTATATCATATTCATGTTTAGTACCACCAACAAATAGAATACATGAAAAATGTTTTTGATCATCAAATGATTGAATAAATTCATTTGTTATATCAAATGTTTGTTGAGCTAATTCACGTGTTGGTGATATAATTAATGAATGTATATGATATTTATCAAAATTATTTTCATTTGTATATTTTTTTAAAAGCATTTCAAGTATTGGTACAACAAATGCAAGTGTTTTTCCACTACCAGTTACAGCTTCAACACAAACATCTTTATGTTGAAGAAAAAGTGGAATTGTTATAGCCTAGATTGAATAATATATATATTTCTGTTCTTTTGTTTTTTTGGCTTTATTAAACTACCTGTACGGGTGTCATTTTATTGAAATTTTTTCCTTTTAAAAATTTTAAAATTTTTGGATTTAATGTTTGTAACCAACGATCAGTAAATGTTTCATTATTTTTACTCATTGTTGTGTTCTTATTAGATTAAATCTAAAATAGGATCATAATATGCTAGGATATAGTCTTATTTTTTTTTAATTTAATGGTTACTACGTTGTTTATGGTTGGACAAATGTAGATTCATTTATACACAAAACAAAAAAACAAAAGAAGAAAAAAAATTCTGTCTGTAATAAATTTCTATCGATAAAGATAATCAGCTTGAAGATTAGCAGCTATTTCAGCTTCCCATTTATCGCCATTTTGAAGTAGTTTTTCTTTATTATAAAGTAATTCTTCACGTGTTTCTGTTGAATATTCAAAATTAGGACCCTAAAATATTATTATGAAAGATAAAAGATTATTATGATTAAAAGTTTTACTTCAACAATAGCATCAACAGGACATGCTTCTTGACAAAAACCACAATAAATACATTTTGTCATATCAATATCATAACGTGTTGTTCGACGACTACCATCTTCTCGTTCTTCAGCTTCAATTGTAATAGCCTAAAGGAATCATTTATACTTATATTGCTCTCATAAAACAAAAAATATCGATATAAAGATAATTCTATATTATTAAAATCATAAGATTTATTATAATGAAAGCTAAAAATGCATCAGTTAAATTATATTAGAAACGTTCGTTTACTAGATTAGCATGTATTTTAAAGAGTTGTATTCAAAATTTTACAACTAATGGATCGGGAACTGCGCGAAGTCATTCATCGCTTTTCAACTGATATTTTGAACATATAGAGAGGATCTGAACAAGAGAAAAACTCCTAAAGGATTCGGACAGATAAATTTTCTGTATAAATCTACATGTAAATCTTATGATTCTACGACTATGCAAAAATTTTTTCTCAAAACGTTTTACTTCCTTCTGATCATATAACCATAAGATACACTTATAGACAAAATGTCAAGTTAAATATTCTCTATTGTATTTTTCTGTTAACTCTATCCTATGATACGAAAAATATCAAGCAAAACTGTCATAACTTAGTATAGAAAGTCTATAGATTTCTAAGCGATTAATTACTTTGGACAGTTTTTCTCATATAATCATATTGTTCATAAGAAGTTTTAACGAAACTTCATCGTGACATTTCGGTATTATCTTGAATGTTTTTTTTATATCAGAGAAGTTATGATAATCCGTTTTGTTCGTTTTCGTTTTGTATTTTCGAGACTTACTTGAGCAGGACAAATAGCTTCGCAAAGTTTACATGCAATACAACGTTCTTCGCCTGATGCATAACGACGCAAAGCATGTTCACCACGAAATCTCTACGAAAAAAAAAAAGGAATCTTTTCAATTCACATGGAAAAAACAAAAGTTCATACTGGAGAAAGTGGACCTTTCTCAAATGGATAATTGATTGTTGTCGGTTCACGTAATAACCACCCAAGAGCAATCATAAAACCTAATGAAAATAAATAAAAAATAAATCTATATTAAATTATAAACAAACCTTTAAGTATATCTGTCCAAATAAGTAGTTGAAGACCACGTTTTGTTGTTTGATACATATCAAGAGATGGTAATGGTTCACTAATATTAACTAATTGAAAGAATGACACAAATTTTTATAAAACAACAACAACAACAACAAAAATAACTTTACCATAACATTTAAGAGATGGATCTTCATTTGTTTTATATTCTTCAAGTGCTTTTTGTTGTTGTTTTTCAAGATGAGGTGGAACTGAACTTTTAAATGGTTCTGGTGGATGATTTGCAGATTGTTTATCGCGAAAAAAAACTGATCGAGTTATTATTAATCGTGGAATACCTTTTTTAATGAATATAGAACAAAATTAATCAATCATAAAAAAAGAAACAAAAAATCTTATTTCTTTACTTACCAACACGTGAAAGATTTGTAAAATTTGATAGCATGATTTATTTTTTTAAATAAAATCCTTTTTTTTCTTTCTAATAATAATAAAATAAACCAACAAACAAACTCAATCGAGTATCAATTGTAATTATATATAATCTATGATTGTGGCGCCCTCTTATATTAAAAACAAATTTTTCATAGTAAAATTAATTAAAACTTTTAATCAATACAAATATTCTTTTTTAAAAAATCTTGAAATGAATTTAATAAATTATTTATTTTTATTTTATAATAATCTATCATTGGTTAAGTATCTCAAAACAGAAAGAGAATGAAAAGAAACATAGAATCAATGACGTCATATATACTATGCTTTGCATTGCTTATGATATTGTAACATACGCTTTTTCTCATTGAGAAAGGTATAAATCTGAAAGCAAAACTAAAGCGTACATAAAAAATTCTTTTTCTTTCTATTAAAAAAATTAAATTGAGACAAGGAAAATCTAATTAAAGAGATTCTTTCTTTTTCAAATAAACTAATCTTTATTATCATTCAATGATTTTTTCCTAATTCTCAAAAAACTAAAACCAAAAAAGAAATTCAAGAGAATCATTTCAATTTTTAAAAAAGTAAACCTCAAAAGATGACTCATCAAATTAACTAGTCTAGGAACATATCGGTCAGCTGTAATAATAATGACTCACACATTGATGTTTTGTTTTGTTTTTTTTTTTTTGAAGTAAACAAAAATAAACAACAAGTCAGGGTGATGTCATCGGAATGGCCCGATACACAATTGTCAAATATACAAAAAAGTGAGTAAATAAAATATGTCAAATTTTGTTTTTTTTTTATTTTGTTTTAAATTTTTTAGCTTTACAAAATAGTTGGCAAATTCCATATATATCTTTATATGCTCGAATTTTTTGTGATGCTTTTCAACTCTTCGATTTTCATCAGGAGGTTAGTTATAAAATACTAAATATAAGTAATTAAGATTTTTTGTTTTTTTTTTCATTCAAGGAATTGGAAGATGCTTTATTATCTGATAATCCAGATGAAATTCATCCATTTCTTCAAGAACTTCTCATATCATTACTTTCCGGATTGACACGTTTGCATGTCAAGTTAGTTATCAAAAAGATTAAAATGAAAAAATAATTAATTTTTTTTTTCTTTCTATATTTAGTTCGAGTAATATGTTTATGATGTTAAGTAATGTACTTAAACGATCTGATTTAACAATTGTTTCATCTATACCATCATCTATTATGACAATATCTGATGATACAATATCAACAATAGATTGGCAAGAAATGGGAATATTTGAAAAAGTTACTGTACTTCGTGCTTTATGCGATGCAAGACTTGATCGACCAGATATTGAACAAGTTACTGAAGTAAGAAAAATTCGAAAGAAAATTTTTCATGTTGAAAATTTTCTTTTGTAGACTATGTCAGCTGATTCAATTCGTTTTGAACCATTTGGAGAAGATTCACGTGGAAATAAATTATGGTATTTTGGTGATACTCGTCTTTATTGTGATTCATCAAAGAAACATACTGAGTAAATGAACGATTCTTTTTTATTATTATATAATAAGAGTATTTTACTATATAAAACTACAATTTATTTACACATGAATGCATTTTACTCTTGCATAGTAAGGTGTCGGTAATTCTAAATTTGAGTGAAACTTTTTTTTTTGTCATAGTTAGATAGAGCTCGTCGACTTACCTATAAAAATAGTATAGTTAAAAGTAATTTTCATTCAATTTCGATCTTTATACTCCTTACTGTGTTCTTTTCGAACAGTCTGACCTGTGTTTTCCCAAGGTCAAAATTTGTTTCATATATTGAGTATGTTATTCGATGTAGACGTTTGTGCTGATATCTGTTTCCGTCGGAATTGAATTTCTAATGGTCAAAATCATAGAATATAAACTTAGATTTATGACTTTTTTTTGCTATCATATATCGAAGAAATCGATTTTCTCAATAATCAAACAGTGTTTTTCAAAAAGCGCCCAGAATATTTTTCCTAATTATACAACGAGTAAAATCAACAAAAAAAAAACTTGAATAAATATTAAAACTACCAAGACTTGATGCTTTTGATGTATTACAATTATTATAGACTTTTCTAATTTTCTCAAGTTTTACTACAAAAACATCGTTCATAGTTGTCCAAAGCGACATTTTCTATACATAACCCGACAAGCTCTATCCAACTATGACAAAAAAAAGTTTTGTTCAAATTTCGAATTACCGACACTTTACTCCTCATCAAGTATTCACTAACTCCGTTTTTGTATCACTTGAGTGATCAAGGATAACATTTGACTTAGACTATAGCAGTAGTCTAAAACACAACATATGTGGAGATTGATAAAATGTCTGTAATGAAGACGATTACTAGTAATTCAAATTAGTCTCTCATCTATAATTCATTTCTAACTTTGATTTATTACACATTATCAGACTCGAAGATGAAATACCGATATAAAAGTGATCATTCGATATGAGAAATTTTTCTAGAAAGAAAAAAACACACTCTTTACTTGATTGAATAGTTAATTTCTTTTTTTTTTGTTTTTGAATATTTAGAACATCAACGTGGGAATGTGTATGTCGTACATTAGATGAATGGAATATATTTATTGAGAATTTTCGTAAATTATGTTCAAAAAAAAATTCAAGTCTTAAAGATCGTAAATTATTAGAACGTTTAATTACTTTATATACTGAATTACCTGATATATATGCACGTAAAGAACGTGATAGACAACGTCGTTGGACATCTTATGAACCTAAACGCTCATCGACACGTCTTGAAGCTAAACGACAAAAACGTCTTGAATTAGAAGAAATAACACAAGAACAAAAAGTACGACATGAAAAATTTCTTGAATTTAAACGACGACAAGAAGAAATTATTGCTAAAGAAAAAGAACGTTTAGAACGTAATGAACGTGTTAAACGACGAGAAGGTATAATAGAAACAAGAATTTTTTTTTTTAGATATTTAATAAATATTTATATTTCGTTTTTTAGAACGTGCAGATCGTATTCGACGTCGTGCTGCTGTTGGATCATTAACAGGCATTGTTGATGGTTCAGAGCATTCAGAAAATAGCAATGCATCATCAACATTATATGATGAAACTAGTAATCCAATTGATACCAGTGATATACATCAAAAAGGTAAAAAAAAAAAAGAATGATTATTTCATATTTTCTATTTCGAAAAACTTTTTTTTTATTTATTTTTAGTTTTGACTTTATTAAGAACAAATGAGAACAGTTGGCCATTTCTTGAACCTGTTACTGAAGAACTAGCACCTAATTATTTCTCAATTATAGAAGTAAGAATAGAAATTCAAAAAAAAAAAAAATTTTTTTTAATCTATAATAATTTTTCGCTTTTCTGATCATGCGTTCTAGAATTCTCGAAGGAGTTTTAATGTAGCCAATTGCTTTTTTTTTTCTTGTTCAAAAGATCATATTTTGAAGGGATCTTTTCTCTTTCCGAAGTTTCTGAAAAACGACTCATCCAAAATAGTTGACACTTTCAAGATAGATAGGTCTCGATGAATAGAGGAAAAGTTGTTTTATACGTCGAATTTTCAAATACTTTCTTCTAGAGAATATATCTGAATCGCAACGGCTAAAAATCGTCCCACTTTCTCAGATACAAATACTAGACACTGTTTCGGATGCCTACAGTTTTTTTTATCTCCTTCCTTTCATATAAAAAGATCAAAATACTGAGCGTATCTCCTAAAATATATGTTGTGTTTTTTTTTGCACTATAGCTTTTTCTTGTAAAATCAACGATGCAATATTTTTCAAAACAAGAAAAAGAGTGGAAACCTCAAACAGTGTCCAATGCTTGTAGGAAAAGTTTCAGTTCGATCGAACGTATTATGTTAAAGAAACGAGCGCGACACAAGACTTGTTTCGTGTAAAAATTGATTTCGAAAAACAATTTTTTCTGTATATGTATCAGGACTTTTTTTCTCCGACTAAAGGAATCGAGAAATGGTCGTGTTAGAGATCCATGATCGATGCTCTCAGCATTTTTAGAAATTATCATTAAGAGAATTTTGCATACAAAGAATAATTGCAGTGCAAGTTATTCTGCTAGGGACTTCGAGAATTGAGTTTAATAAAAGTACTAACTAATAATGAAGAGCTCTCATTTATATGGCATTTGACAAAGGACACTTCCAAGTTATACTAAAAATCGAAAAATTTCTGATTTTAATATTCACAAAGAAGAAGGAGAGTCTGCTTAATTATGAAATATATTTTCTTTTTTAAATTCTTATTTAGAAACCAATGGATCTATCGACAATACAACAAAAAATAACTAATAAAGTTTATGTTAATAATTCAGCTGAATTTAATCAAGATATTGAATTAATGGTTGCTAATTGTGAACAGTATAATGGCAAACGAAGCAGTAAGAAAATATAATTTAATCTATTTTCTTTTTTTGTGTTTATTTCTTTTTTTAATTTAGTTTTGGGTCGATTAGCTAATCGTTTTCATCGTTATTTTAAAGAATGTTGGACTGAATGTCAACCAATAACACCACAATTAGATGATGATATTGACGATATAAATCATCATCGTGATAATCCACTTAAAAGACGTTTACATGAATCAACATCAACACCAATAACACGAGATAAAAATAATAATACAAGACCAAGAAAAAATTATCGACAATTAGCTGGATTAAGTGATGATGATAATGATGATGATGAAGCTGAATATATACCAATACCAAGTTCAAAACGCGTAAATTATTTATAACAAAAAAGACAAAAAAAAAAAAAAAGAAATTCATTTTTCTAGGCTCGTCATTCAACTACATCTGTACCAATATATATAACAATTGATCCAAATTCTCCAGAATTTATTGTCTATCATGATCATTCATATTTTATACGTCATGAATCAATAAATTCATCAACAGATAATATACCTCGACGTAAATCATCAATATCAAATACAAAATCAATTATAAATATTCAAACTTCAACAGAACATCACCATCACCAACAACAACAAACTTGTTTACCTTCTGTTCAAGTTCTTAATCGTTTACTTCTTGAACATCAACAAAAAATGAAAAATTCTTCATCAGATTCATCGATTAATCCTTCAACATCATCAACGAATACTATTGATTTTAGTGCTATTTTACGAGCACTCTTAGCTAAACAAGGTCATCGTATAACAACAACTACGACTGAAAAAAATGTTAATAATAATACAGAAAATACTCTTTACTCATCATCACCTTCATCATTACAACCTGTTATGAATTCTCAATTACAATCTGATTCATCATCAACGGCTGCATCATAATAAATTTTTTTTAAATAGTAAAACAGTTAGAAGAAAAAGAAAAAATATTCTAATTCTCATTTTTTTTTGTCTTATTATTATTATTATTATTTTGTACAAAAGTTTGGACTATGCGCCGCAAATAAAAACAAAAAAAAACTAAACCCTTCTGAGTATGTTTCTTCCGCTTATGTTTCTTTTTGTTTCTTTTCATTGTATGTTTCGATCTTTGTATGTTTGTATGTATTGTTTTGATGCTAATGAAACGAAACATAAACTGTACAACAAACGAATAAAATCTAATAACTAAATGCAATAATATTTAAAATTGAAATATTGTATAAATACTTTTCTTTATCGGTTTTTTTTCGTACCGGTTAAAATAATCATAATAAAAAAAATCAAGCAAGCAACTACAAAACATGTATGAAAACAAGAGTACAACTAGAACCGCACATACAAAGAAAAATTGAATTCGCTTGTTTTTTGTTTTTGATCAAAAAAAAAATATTCATAATAAATTTTAATTATCAAAATCATCGTCATCGTATTGAATATTTTTTTGTCGAGCACCAGTAATTAATGAATCTATTGCTGAATATTTTTTACCAGTAGATGGAGATACATTTCCAGTAATATTTGTTTTTGATACAAAATCATTTAGAGCCGATGAGTGTCGATCAGTATTTTGTGGTGATGGTGAACGTTGATCATTGAAATTTGAAGTTGATGTAGCATTTCTATATTTACTTTCATACGATGATGATGATGAACGATAATAATCTCCCGTTGTAACTGGATTGTCAGAAACAACAGTATGTATTGTATTGTCACTCGAAGGTTGTCGATTGTATTTATTATAGTTGTCAGTATTGGTGTATGAATGAGAATAATCGTCTATAGCAAAAGAAGATTTGATTTATAAAAAAAAAACCCAGTAAAATAAAGAATTAATTTTACCTGTAAAACCAGGTTGTCGTTCACGACTACTTTGTCGTTGAAAAGAATCATTCGATGCTACCGATGGACTTCGACTTCTTCGATTATCTCTTGTCGGTTCTGTTGATATTTCAAATTTGTCAATCTTTGAATCCGATCGTTTAGTACTTGAAATAATAGGTACATCAACAATGTTTGATGTTCCACTACCATAAGACAATCTTTCACCTTCATGTATATATTTACTTCTATCATTTTCACCCATATAAGTCGATCGATGACGATCACTAGTTGTATTTGATTCAATAGGTTTTTCTATTCTTGTTGGACTACTTGGTCTTTGATATTTTGTATCAACCATAGTATCATTACGTTGTGGATATCTTCGTAAAAATTCCTCATTTTGTCTTGTAGTATTATGTTCATCTCGAAGGGTACGTTCATTTGAAGTAGCTCGTTGTCGTGCTTGTTGATATGATACATTTGGTGAATCAAGATCATTACCATAAGATGAACGACGTGTAGTACGATGTTCATGTGTTGTTGATTTTTCAGTAGACATTGCTACACCACTAACCAAACCATGAGGACCAAATTGTTTTTTATAACATGATTGACAATAAATTTCACCTTTATGTTCAGCTAATGTTGTTGCATCTAATTTTCTTTTACATGCATAACAACTAAAACAACTTGAATGAAATGCCTAAATAAATTAATCATTATATATAATATATTTAATAATTAATTGAAATACGAACTCGGCCAGCTCCAACTTTTTTCTCTGCTAAATAAACAGTTTTCGAACATCGAGCACATTTATCAGCACCACCACCATATTGTGGCGTGCCTCCTGTTTGTTGTGTTGGTTGATTTGATCGATTTGGATGAGGATTATTTAATGAATTAATATGATGTCCAATACCTGTTGTTGGCAATTTACGTGTTCCTTTCGGACTACCAGTAATACTACGACGCATAATAAAAAGAGAAATTGAATGCAATGCAATGAAAAAAAAAATGTTTGCTGTATTGACTCAAAGGTATGGACTTATATTCTACTATTTAAGCTACTCGTCAAATGTAAAAAAGAAAAAGGGCTCCTCCTAGATCGATTAACATTATATTTTTATGTCTATTGATCTAATTTATAGCATTCAATAGAGAAAAATCAACAAAAAAAGTAAAATAGACTTGTTGATACTTACTCTGCTACATATTCTGAATAGTTGACACGATACGCTGATGAAGAACTGTTACTATTAGTTGACGTTCTTGGAGATGGTGAGGACATTTCTGCTTTGTTTACGAATAATGTTAATATCTTTAAAAAAAATGCAACGATGTTTCGCTTTTATATATGTTTAAATCTTTTACTCCCACACTATTTTTCTTTTCTTTCCATTTCTCTCATAAGTTTCTTTTTTCAACATTCATATTTCATTCGTTCTCGTTAAAAACAAGCATGATGTTTGTCAGTAATCAATGGAGATAATGTGCGAGTCTATAGAGAGAAAAACATCGGCAGGTTAGGAAGAGATTCATATACGTAATATATGACTCGTATAGTCTGCTTTACTTTCTATTCCTTTTCATCAACAAAGTGAATAGTCATCATTTTTCTATTAAAAATACATAAAAAAATCAACGAATCACCATTTTTCAATGAATCAGAATCATTAGTCGTACAGGTATGTAGGTGGGTTGTACCTGACTTGCGATGCAAAATAATCATTTGAAACATATGCAAATCGATTACAGCAGGTGTTTAGACATTACAATGAATGATTTTGATGGTTTGTTACCTTTAAAGTTTATCTTTCGGTGTATACTTTGTCGTTTACCTTGAATAATGATGACTGCCTAGAAAAAAAAGAATAACAACTGACATATAGTTAACCATTGCGTGAATAGAATATGAGTAAATGATATTGTCTTTACTTTATAGAACTAATTATATGAATAAAAATTGTATAAAGAATGGAAATATGTCAAATCTAATAATAGAAAATACGTTTATTTTTTTTAATTTAGTTTAAACAACAAAATTTTCTATACGTATAATTTCATTCAATTTAAAATGTACGTAATTATACAAAACGAAATATTCTAAATACTAAATTTTTCTCTAATTAATTAAAAATAGTCCTAAATTTTTGTCCAATGTAATTAATTATTGCAATGACGAACTTAGGATTTTGGTGAATAGGACTAAACATAGTCACAAGACGTGTTTTCATGTCAATTTCAAATCGTATCAGCTCATTTTTCGGCGTTTCCTGCTGAGAAAAATAGTTCGGAAGGAATTGGCGACTGCACTCAATACTCCCACTCGAAATTCGTCACTTGTTTATCAATGATTGTAAATGTGATTTAATTCATTGTTTAGAAGAAAATATTCAAACGATTTCTTTTCAAATTCATTAGACGTGATATAAAAAAAAACTATTTTTTTCATGTTAAGTAAATATTTCATTTTATTAAATTTTTACATAATATTGAATTAGATAATTCACCAAAATATAAAATCAAAGATTCTAAAAATATAATAATCTAAATTAGTATTGCACAATGTATTAATATAAATTCAAATGAATATTAATTATCCTATGTAAAATAAGATATTTGTGGGTGTATTGATAGAAATCTATTAATTGGGTACCACTGTGCAAAAAAAAAAAATAAGTAAACGAAACTAATGATGATATATGAGAATGA